GTTAGCCTCTGGTGTCACCACTGTTTGCTTCATACACTGCAACACACTCCTTCACAAAGTTGATCAGGTTGTTGATTATGGTCTATGGAATGTAGATCCAGTCCTCTTCAGGTATGCTGGATATTGGCAGGAACTGGAACACACTGACATATACTGCAATCTATAGATGATTATGTATTTCTGCACTGCCACTGCTGTTTCTATCAGGCCCCTGATCCCTCTACAGTTTATGTAGATATAGTCTAAAGTAAAGACTATAAAATCCCTCTGTGCTGCGTGCAGAGCTCTGGAGCCGCAGTTGTGTGTGGTCTCCCATAAACTGGAGCATCCGGAGGAAACCAGATCAGAAACGAAGAGTACAGGCAAACTCCATTCAGAAGGGCCCTGTTCCGACTTCATGGGTAAGAATCCTGTCATCCTATAGTCATGTAGTACCCAGGCCCTGCCCTGCTTGGCCTCAGGATCAGGCTTCCACATGCAGGTGTGGCCACCAACGTGTTTTAAAATACCTTGTTAAAGCATACGTTTATGTATACAGATCTCTGAGACAAAGCAACTTACTTATGACAACAGTTAGAATGTGAACCAAAGGCGCACTCACTTGTTGTGCATTGAGAAGACACTCGAATGTACCGTGCCGTAGAAATAAAAGCGAGGGCGCCATGGAAACCACTGTGTTCCCGCCGAGCTGTCACAGAACGCTGACAGAGAGGAAACCATTAGAGACATCCTTCTATTATTTCACACTGTGGATTTCAATGGCACATCACAGCAGGGCAAGAGAACTAATGACGAGCAGGGGCGCATGCAGCCCCTTGGTCTGTGGGGGCTCCAAAGTCATTCTTCACTCAGCATCACAACTGTCCATTGCATTCTCATAGTCCTACCTCTACATTGCCTAATAGTTACCACATATGCACTGCAGAACTGTGTATATCAGGTCAGGATTTTAATTTAAATTCAGTTTGTTTATTTCAATGGTTTGGAGATATTTCTCAATTACGTGAGAAACAAGAAAATAGAATTCCACAGAAATGTGGACCTGGGGCATTCGGGCGTTTAACCTCAGAGGAATCTTATATTCCCGTCATCTCAGATACTCACCAGAGGCAAAACGTCTCAGCTGAAAACATGGTCCAAAGGCCAACTTTTGAACTAAACTAGTAAAGACCTGGTGACACTGGGCCTCATTTATGAAAATTGCGTACGCCGACATGTATCAATCTGGACGTGGGCGTACGGTACGCACAAATTATGCACCAAGTCAATAGGTGGTGTAAATGTGTACGCTCATTTCAACCTTCATTACAACGCGCCAAAACTTGCATGAAATGCAAGATTTGGACAACAATAAACATGTTCCCACTCTGGTAAAATTATAAGCTGCGTAAATTATAAGATGTGTTTTCATTAGGAACATGTTTCTAAATATGATTTTGCGCATCGGAAAACCTCAACACTCTGGAAACACGCACATTTCGAATACATCACAGTTCATGATGAGGACCCTCTTCTGTTTCTTCGTTTTTAAATCTGACTTGTGTGAGTATTATTTTCATCGGTATTTTTTTTATTTTTAATGTGAAGCACTTTGTGATCCTGCTCTGTGAAGACTCATACACATCCTTTCTCTCTCACAGAGATTGCTCCATTGCATTTACAAGAAGATGTCGCTGACGCTTGACCCAGATGAGAGTCACCGCTGAGATCACATTCATTCATTAATTTCTAAAGAGATGAGCGCTGCAGTGGGTCTAGACACTAGGGAAAAACGCGTATATATAATAAAGCGGGGGGTTTTTTTTGGACAAAATAATACTATAAAACTCAATATAAACTCAGTGCGTGTCACTAACAGGCCTTCTCAGGCTTCCAACTCCATGTTCCAACTACACTTGCTGGCCGGCTTCCATGCTGAGCTGTCGTAAAAACGGGGCGTTTTCGGAATATTTCTAGGTGTGACTTTCATAAATACGCTGGTTTTTCACAGCGGCATTTATCAACAGCCGCGGCTGCGTACACTCAGACCTATGCGTATCTCACACGTTCATAAATCCCGCATTGAGTCTGGCGTAAATGGAATATACACCAAAAATATACACCCTTTTCTGCGCAAGTTTCATAAATGAGGGCCCCTGGGAGAAGGTTGATTGAAGCTGTAAAGGGAAGGCAGGTTTTTCATTGATAATGACTGTTGAAAGTAGAAACTGTACAACTCTTGTGTTCAAAAGCATTGAGACAGTTGTTTTAATGTGACTGTGGACTCATACATTTTCTACTTTTCATCACAAATTGGCTTTAGCAGGGGATGCAGCAAATGGATTTGTGATTCAATTAGACTACAGTCAAGAAGCTGAGACAACTCATTGTCATTAAACAAAGAAAAGTTGGAAAATGTTGGCTGACGATAGGATAAAAGAGCAATCAATGTGTCGCATAGCCATCCACTAATGTGCACAAGCAGGACGCAGACATCTGAGGGCATCAAAGCTTTGACCCAAACGTCCAAACATTTTGCTGATACCCAAAACCAATGAAGGAAACAAAACTAGTATGTTTCTCCTCTACCAAATTTTTAATGGCTGTTTATCCTGCAAGTAACTACAGGACAACTTTTGCTTTAAAAAGTGTTGGTATTTATGTTCTTCTAAAACCATGTAATTGTGTATTCATGTATTTTTGTGTTTTGTAATGACTTAATAAACCAGTAAGATAAAAAATGACATACAATGACTATAATGAAAATCAGCGAGGTGGTGTAAAAAAGTGAAGAACGACAGTTTTTTCTATCTTAAAGAATTGAAACATTAGTATCGTGGCTCGATCGGACAGACATGCCATACTGCAGTCTCACCGTCAAATCCATTCCATTTGACGTTCACCCACTTCCCCTTGAGACCAGCTCAAACATGTTATGAATGCGGATGGAAGAACGGAAAGGCCTTGTCCCTCATTGCATACGTATTTTACAGACGATGTAACCCAGGTGGAATATTCATGCACTCATTTGTTTTCAGTTTGGTTTGACCAGTAAAAGGAAAAAAGTGCTTTATCGTCCTTCGCTTTCCTTGGAGAGTCATTTTTTCCTTGTGCTTTGACAAAAGTGCTTCAGATATTACTCATTTGTGTGTGAAGTGTTGCCTCTGTGCATAGGTACTTTTTCTTTACATGTTCTGCTTTAGCATTTTTGTGCAATTTATTATACAGTTCATTTAGAGAGAGGCAGTGAGGACTTAACGGTCAAGTGATTGGGTTCCATTAGCTTAAAATCACAATTCTGTAATCTCTTTTCAATTACTTTTCAAATCCTTGACCAATCCAATGACATGAATTATAACCTCTCGCTTTGAACATGAACCGAACCCGGAAAACTGTGTCCAAATGAAAGTTCCACCACTGAGAGCTGTCTAGAGACTGGTAACCAAGAAGCCAATCATCTGTCGAGACTGTGCGAGACCATTTTCTTTTGTTAAATATGTGGAATAAAATGTCGTTCAGCTTTTAGCCAATGTCAAAAAAAAAAAAAGGACCGGGTCAGAGTGCCCCTGCTGCTGAAATACTGTATATTTTAAACCATTCAGACTTCTGCTCAACACGTTTCTCTGGGTCACACTCAGGATTGAGAACGGAAACTTGAATGTTTGACGATTCACTTTTGTTTAAGTCTCAGATCTAAAAGTCAGGAATCTCAAATGTTAAAGTTACAACATTAACTTGTATGAGATTAGACAGGAAGTTGTAGGAGGCTGTAAAATTAATCCTTGATTAATTTTACTGTAAAATTACTGTACAATTAATCCTTGATTAATCCTTGATTAATTTTACTGCCTAATAGTTTGAATATAAAAGAAATAAAAGAGGAAAATGTATGTTTTCATTTTCTTTAATCTCTCTTTTTAAAGGGAACATTTCAGCAAACACGAAATGCACCAGCAGAAGATTGACACAAAGAAAACAAGTGCTGCAGTGAGTGACATGTTTTTGCTCATTAGAATGTATTTAAAATAGGCAGCAATCACAGTAAACACTCATTATCTCATTAGTCTCTTTTCCAGAGGCAGCAAATTCAAAAATAAAAACGTGGCTAATAATAAGGCTTTTGTGGTATAGATGGGGATATTGATTACAAACTTGCTGATCTCACAGGAGGTTTGTCATCACGATTTAGTCAAAGTGGAAGATGTTTTAACAAAATGTCAATATACAACAGCAGGGAGTTATGTGGAGGACTTGGTGGTGTCTTTATGTTTTGTGTACAGCTGAAATGAGTATCCAGCTTACAAGAACAACTGGAAGTGTCTTTACTAGGGACGGCCACATTCAGTTTTTTGGAGCAGATACCGATATCCATTTTTGGGGGATTTTGTTTTGAAAATAATCCATTTATCAGAAATGAAGTCACGTCGATGTTTATCCCTGATCGCCCAGCCCAGTTGCAGAGCACATAACATTAAAGCAAGATTCAATAGATTTCAGATTGATATAGACTTCAAATGTTCAAAGTACACACTGATGTTCGAAGGGCGTTTGAGATAACAAATATGGAGTAGATAAAACGCTAAATGTTTCCTGTACATGCAAAATTAAAAAGGTAGTGGGTACTTTTTCAATGGGAATCATGCGGCAGCAGGTGTCGCCCTATTGATTTTCCTTTCACAATGTCAAGATTAATACAATTTATTATTTTTACACTAATTTATTTATTTCCATATACAACCCCCAGGTGGAATTTCAATAAGAACATCGGTACATGCAGACCAGACCCAATATAATGTGAGATATAAATAAACTTGAACTTGACCTATATGTCCAGATTATTAACAAGTTTCCATGGAGACCATCACTAGGAGAGGTACAAGTCAGATTCGTGTTGATGAATCTGAGTCTGTATCAATACTTTTTGTAATCTTAAACTGTGAAGCACTTTGTGAAGTTACAGTGTTTAGAGAAAGCAATTTAAATACAATTGGACAGATGGACTACTTTAAATACACATTGTATTAACTATTGTAAAGAGGCACTGCTCGATGTATGCGTCCTCTGCAGATGGGGCACTTCTTGGGCCGGGGCAAAGCATCGTAGCAGCTCAGACAGGTGCACACGTGTCCACACTCCAGAAACACACACTCCCGAGAGCGGCTCAAACACACAGAGCAACTGTTGGCTGGCGCGCAGTCTGTCTCCAAGTCCCCGGCCAGCCCCCTCTGCCTTTGCTGCTCCATGAAATCCTCCAACATCCTCCTGTCGCGCTTGCACTGTCGATAATGTGCCAACTTCTTCCACAGAATATAAACCAGTGTGGAGCAGGCCGCCATACCGAATAGAACTGTGATAATCCTCCAACCGCGCACGCTGCTCTCCTGTTTCCTCAGCAAAGCATCGTAACCGAAGCGGCTCAGAAAGTAGCAGTAGCCCTCTTTAGGCGGCTGTAGCTTGATGAGGCTATTGTCCAGAACCAACTCACCCACCCCGGTCAAGCTATCGCCGATCCGCAGCATCTCCTCCGTCTCCTGCACGCCCTTGGGTCTCTCTCCGCTGATGAAGTGGCCGATGGTGTTGGTGAAAGAGTGGACGCTGGGGTGAAAGTTCTCGTAGGTGGTCTGCAGCTCCAGCTCGGAGGCCTCTAGCGGGCTGACCACGCGGACGCACGAGGACATGTTCTCGTCCAGGGAGCCGATGGAGAAGGGGACTGAGTTGGTGCGCTGGTGGATCACTTTGACAGAGTCGTACCTGTCGCAACAAAAACACATGAAGTAAAAGGATAAAAAAAAAATCATTTCATTGTGTGTATTAATGAACAACAGCTGCTGTGAAAACACAAGATTGTATCATGGACTAATTTCCATCTTATCCCACAGTCGCACTTACAAACACAGAACTATTGTACATGTTATAGGGGTAGGTGAAACCGGAGTACCTGGAGAAAACCTACACAAAACTTGTATAGGGGAGAACACGAAAACTCCACACAGAAAGGCCCTTTATGGAGAACCCAGGTCCTTATTGCTGTGAAGTACCAGTGCTAACCACTGCTAGCCATGGCGCCCAAACTGAATGTAAGTTAATCACAATTATAGCATCACAAACATTATTCGATGATATAATATTTTTTCTTGCTGTATTTCTTGATACAGGGGCATACTAAACAAGCTTACAGTGTACTGGGGGGAATGAGCCTTTTTAAAATATCCCTTGCCATGTGTATTACCCAAAAACCCTCGTAAGGCAAAAAATATGTAAAACGATGGATGTAGTAATAAGGTTCTATGAAAAAAGCCCATCATATTCTTTATTTCTCCCCCTTTTGGCCTGATAGATAGTCTTTCACCTCTACCAGTGTGCGTGAGTGACTTGTGACCCGAACATAAGGAGGAGCAGCCTGGAGTGACGTGGAGCAGAGCCAGTCCGTCAAGCTCTGTGGTTTCACCTCACTCTGCATGCTAAATGTTGATCTCTGGGTCAAACGCACAACACACTGCTGCTGTTTCAACTGTTTATTAAATTATAAATACTTCACCAAACTAAAATACTATCATGAAGTCCACTACTTTCTAGCTAGTGAAAGCTAAGGATATGGATTTTATTATGTTTTATTATGTTAGTTCATATTTTGTGGTTTCAAAGTCAGGTGCTGGTTATGATCCATAATGGACTAACAGAAATGAAAGTCGTACAGTGTAAATCCATGTCTAACACTACAAGTCAAAATGTGCCCTGTGAGCTGTGACTGCTGCTGTACCGGGGGGCTGTGTGGCTCGTACCAGAGGTGAGTGGTGCGATTCCAGACCAACTTGTTCTCTCTCAGAGTCAGCCGCTCGATCACACCTTTGCAGTTGTCCACAAACTGGCTGTTCAGGGTTTCTTTCACAGCTTTCACAGCACCTGAAATAAAGCAGTGCATCCAGTCAAACGTAAACAAAATAATCTTATAATCTGAGCCCGGTGCTCACCCTCTATGACGGCGTAAGGAACACATTTGCCCGGTGCTTCAGACAGCAGCTCCTGTAAGTTCTGGTCAATGGACAGCTTCTTTGCTCCCTGTGAAAATATGGGCGGCCATTTACAAGAGGTAAATTATTCCAAATAAATTGCATCTCATCATAATTTGATGCTTTGTATAGCGTCTATTTATCTGTCACCTTGAGTCTGTTGAAAGTGGTGGCTCTGCTTTTGTAGATGGAATAAAACACTGCGGTGAGGGCAGAACTCGTGGCCAAAACAATGAGCTGAGCTGCGGACGGTGGGCCATCCATCCTGCCAGGGCTGAAAACACATGAAAATACAAGGTACAGTGGGAAGGAATATTTCAATGTCTGTCCATTTCAGATATACAGACTGTAAGACATTAAAACAACATTATTAGCTGTTCCACCTGCAGTATTGTAACTATTTGTTTTAATGAAACGATAGTAGGCTCTGCTGTTAACCAAGATAGTGATTGCCTGATTTAAAACTATACAACAACTAACTTATTCCTGTGTAGACCTAAATCATGTCTCCCAAAGTGGGGTCCGCGGCCCCATGTTGCCGCGTGGTACTGCAGGGGGCCGCGGGAGGTCATAAAAAAAAATAAAACAAAATATAATTATTTAATGTTAAATTAAAATGTTTTGTTTGTAATAATAAAAATATTTGTTTCCTGACTTTAAAAGCCTCTGTAATTACAATGTGAGTAGCATAGCTATTTCCCCAAAATAAAATAACCATGAAGAGCATAATTCTTAACTGGTTATTATTTTGGGGGCCACGCAGACCCTCAGATTTTTAAGGGGGCCTCGGTTTACTGAGTTTGGGAATGGCTGCCCTAAATCATAACAAAAGTCATCTCAGCGGACTTACAAAACCATTGAAATCACCAACACAGATCAGAGAATCAACAGTTAAGACACAAAATATACACATATGAACTGGTCCATAGGGAGAGACCAATGTCCATGAATGTTGATAAATGTCCATACATGTTGTAGAATGTTAAAGTGTCCTGGATCATCACCACATTCCTTCTAGTTGGACACTAACTGCATTAGCAAGGAAAATCATACATATATTAACGAAATACTACAGCTGACAGCAGCATCATAAACAGTCAAAAATAATCCATACTGAACTTCTATTTTTTCTCAAATGGTTTTGGCCTGTTTTTGCAGCAATCTTTACAACACAGATTTAAACTCAGTATTCAAAGTTAGCACTGATTAAAAAACGGAGTTATTTTATATTGTGCCCACCTCTCCCTATTGCATTCAACTTTGGTTTTAGCTAACGTCACTTAGATTAGCTAGCTACACTTTGACATTAGGCAAATAACATCTACTTTGCTCAGCATGATTATAATTTCATGCAGATCTACGTAACTGACTTTTATTTATTTTTATTTATAACCCTACAGCTTAATTCATTATCGTTACTTTAACAATAGCCAAATACATGAAGCAGACACTGGACACTTCTCACACAAGTTCTTTGCTGTCACTTGTCCTTAGCATTAGCTAGCTAGTGTCATGCCCCTTGCCAAATCGCCTGTTAGCACGTCTTAATCCCACCGATTCGTCGATTGTGAGGCAAACCTAGACAATATTGGAAAAAACATACGTGTCATATATTTTGTACGAACCAAAGTCAGTGTGAAAGTCCGTAAAATGCACATAAATGCTCTGAATCCTTGTTGCTGTAGCTGTCTCGGCTCAGTTCAAATGACAACAGCGGCGGGTGTAATGTCCCGGTCCCAACAGCAGGTGTCACTGTCGGACAGGTCATGGATAGAGGCGTAAATACAGCGGCATGCGAAAGAACCTAAACTGAAAGTAAACGTATACAGGCTAAAATGTATATCTGTAAATAGAATACTAAACGCTGTGATAAATGTATACATACATAAATAATTGTATAGGCCAACATGAATGCCAACATTTAGGAATAAAACCAACCCCCCCCCCCTGCATTAGTTACTGTTCCCCAACCCTTCATTGAAAACAATCACATGGGACACCACCAATGCAAAGTCATTCTCACCACTGTGTGTTATATAGACAATCAAACAAGAACAAAACATGAATTTCTAATCTTCTCACATGAGTGTCTTTTCACATTATTTGAAGTGATATTGGATCATTTACAAAACAACATATCAAGAAACACCAACGTGCCATGGCACACTGGTTGAAATACACTGAGTGAGTGCATTAATAAAAGAAATGCAATTATTATTATTATTATTATTATTTTACTTTATGTTTCCTGTCACAGTAACAAGACGAGCAACATCCTGAACTTGATCAATACTACATTGTAAGTATGTTTTATTGTATTAATTTTGACCAAATATTGTTTATCCAATTGCCTGATTTTGCACTCTTTGCATTTGATTTCAACATTAAAATGAGACACTCTTTAGTCATTCAAACTTGGACAATGCTCACTCTGCAAATGTGCATAATACACATGGGAAACTGATGCTGGAAAAGGTACGGCATTGTGTTCTTTCCTCTCCAAAAGAGCACCCTTGTCCTCCGGGATAAAAACCATAGTTAGTTAGCTTGATTTTGAATCCTGCTGCAATTTTCTCTTCGTTTTCTTTTCTTTTATTTGCTCTGGTCACCAAAGCCCAGGGCACGTGTCCACACACTCACATGGCTCAGTGACAGACAGAAATGGGAGAGCAGATGGAGACAACAGATTTATAGGAGGAGAGCAGTAATAAGCACTGTAAAAATATCACAGCTCATATGAAAATGGCAGAAATTTAAGTGTTCATGTCCCAACAATAAATCAATAGATAGAAATTGCAGTACAATGTCACAATAGCAATGCAAAGGAATAGTATGTCGTTTTTCATCTTACTGGTTTTATAATTATTTCTTTGCATGCAACTGCTCAGGTTTGGGACACCTAACCAGCTGGATTACACCAAGAAACTGGCAACCTAAACAAGAGACATATGTGATGCCCGCTCTGCGTTCTGATTGGACACTCTGTCATCATGTTCATTGTTTTTCTAATAGGAATACATTTGCATTAACAGTTAAGCAAAGGCCAAATATGATTTATACATAATGACCTTCTGTTTGGGGACACAGAAAAATATGAAAATCAATCAATTACGTACCGTAGTGGTAGGGCGAGATGTTTGGGCAGATTTGTTAATATAGCTTCACTGTAGGATAAAAAAGGAGGGTGGAAACCATAGAAATGATTATTTCCCCCCCAAGTGCCAAGAGATATTTAGAGGTAGTTTTCTTTGTTTCATGTGTTTTGTTGATGCAAAATATTTGGAATGGTGCACCAAGCCACACCCAGGCTTTTGGCTTCCCGTTTAGAGAATGGATATATGATTTATAATGCAGTCTACATTTCCATCATTCTCTCGAGCAGGCCAGATGGCTCACACAAAACACCACAATCCCTACAGCCAAAACACAGAGGATTTTATTTTTGAGTAATTGTAAGTTGTGTTTAGAAGATTTGTTTTTATATTTCAGTCAGAACTCCCCAAATTAAAAGGTATGAAGTCAATTTATCATCCCAGTACTGAGTGGAATTCAAGCAGTAAGAATTTGAAGTGTAATAACATACTATTGGAGTTGTAAATGTGTGATATGATCAAATTCCAGTTAGATGATTGACTTTTGAGGCAAATAACTAGTGCGTGAATGATTTGATTTGTGCATGTGTGATCAATCTATTCACCTGCAGCCATGTGCCATTGCTCTGGCTATACCCATTTTAACTAATACACCCACTGCTGTGGGTGGATGGCACTCTCGCCTCTCAGCAAGAAGGTTCTGGGTTCGAATCCCGGTCGGACCAGGGCCTTTCTGAGTGGAGTTTGCATGTTCTCCCCGTGTCTGCGTAGGTTTCCTCCGGGTACTCTATCCCCTACCACTAAAAACATGTACAATAGTTCTGGCATGCGCCTCCTGTACTGGCGACCCCGCTCCCATCTCTGTGTGGAGTGAGAGACAAATGCCCAAAAAATAACAATTGTAAACCGCTTTGTGACTCTGTCTGTGAAAGGCGGTATATAAATAAACATTACTTACTTACTTTGTTTATGGACTAACATGTAAATGATCAACATGGATAATATTGATGTGTAATGGGTATCATTACTGCTCAGAGCACAAAGTCAATGTGTTTGAGCATCTTTTGAACGCAAGTCACACGTTTCGAGGCGTTTAAGCCTCGGTGTTTTTTGTGTCTGCGCGTCCCCATCGCTGACAAGCCTAAATGTCATCTCTGACTAAAGCTGTTAGGCCTTGTACTTAATGTTGCCTTGAAGAAACCTTAAAGGGAAAACTCATTTTGACTTACATAATATAATACAGCTCAAGCGAGTTAGCTATGTGCTGCTTTTGAAACACATTAACTACTGAATGTTAATTACAGTAATTATCAGATGTGGGTGGCATATCTCTGAAATAACTACCAGGCTTGCAATGGTTAGTCAACTGAAATTGCATCTGTTTTTCATGAATGTGATTTTCAAATGGAAAATAAGAAAGAATCATCATTTTGGCACTATAATGCAAAACTTTGATTTTGTCATTGATTCATCCCAAGTATTATTACACCAAATAAAGTCAAAGAAAGGTTATCTCACCTGTGTACAGTGTTTTCCAGTGTGGTTTACAAAACAAAATCTGGGTATTGCAAGATTATGTAAATACATGTGGTTGAGGTTGTGTAAAATAAACGTCCACAATTATTTTTTGATTCAATTAAATCGATTAATCACAACAGCAGTCGTCTTGGAGAATTATACAAAGATGTTGATTTGCCAGATAAGAGAATCAAACAGTTCGAACACCGGAAATGCAATGAAAACAAACAAATAGGAGCCTTTGGTCCCTAAATGTTGATAAATGCCCATAAATATCCTTAAATGTCTTGGATTTTATTGGAAACAATTAGGATGTAATGGAAACAATTACAAACTCAGTACAAAAATGAAAAACCTCAGGGCGCCCCACATTGAGAGAGGGATCCACTCCCACGGACAGGCAGGTTATAGATCCAGGACTCAGGCTGTAGAACAAGCCTGAGTTGAAGGACTGGCTCCCAGGCAGGGAGGGGTGCAGCTCACGAGTCCGGGCCCATGGAGACAATCCACAATCCACTCCTAATCATAAATAGTATACACTGCTTCCATCGCTGTGGTCCATTGAGACTTGTGTTTTGTATCAGCGCCATGTTCATTAACCCAGCGGTCCCCTTCAGCACTGTAATGTATTCACTCAATCTGTATTGAGTGAAT